CCCGCGGCATTGAAGGCACACATGGGCACGATAGCAGAATGAGTTGTTGCATTGGTCCTTGTTGAAGTTGCGGCAGATAGGCTTCCCAAGATGGGTTGGCGCGCTGGACTGCGGCGGACCTCCACTCCCAGCGCCGACGGATGGAGGCCCTGGTCTAAAGGGACACCGGGCCTGGGCCACTGGGTGCACCAGAGAACAGCGCGAACATGGCGGGCGACCACGGCTGGTGAATGACGACTGCCACAAATTAGAGTCGATGATAGCCCAGTCGTACGACAGTGGTTGGGAGGCTATGGCGCGCCGGAAACGCCTGTCATAACTTAGCCATGCGTCCACCTGATACGAGTTATTTGCATCCAGAATAGTGGCCTGATATGCCAGCAAATCATTCGCCCTATCTGGAGCCGCCGCGACAATTACTCTTGTGTAGACAGTAAACGCCTCGAGCCATGACGCTACATCGTGGACATGGCGGCGCTGGGCCTGAGTTGGCTTCTGTACAAGTTGGACAGAGCGGTTGGCCCCCACAGCTAGCTGGACCACATCGGGCTCCACACCCAGCTGGTCCGGGAGGAGGTCGTCGAAGTCAATAAACTCGCCGCGTTCAATTCGCCCGCGGAGTTTATCAGGTACAGAGAGCGACGGACGAGCAGCCGGCAGATGGCCCCGGAATGCATGAACGGAGCTGGAGTTGACAAGCGGCACGACGGCTGCAGCAGATTCCAACTGCTCTACTCGCTCCATCAGGGGCTGGAGGACCTGGCCGACGGCCTGAGAAACAGCCGAAGCAAGTACATCAGGGACCACACTCAAGGCGGCGGCAGAAGAAACTGACGGCGCAACGTCGGAGACAACAGAGGCCGTGGATAATGGAGTCCCGGTTGGTTGACGACGAACAGGAGTTGGCCTCGCACGCGCATTACTGCCTGCAGCCGAAGTTTGAGTTGCCGCCCCGGGATCAGGGACCATATTCAAGGCGGCGGCAGAAGAAACTGACGGCGCAACGTCGGAGACAACAGAATCCAACTGGGGAGATATTGGAGTTCTGGGCGGTTGAAGACGAACAGGATTTCGCCGCACACGCACATTACGCCCTGTATCCGAAGGTTGAGCTGCCACTCTGGCCGATGGCGTCTTTTTTCTGGTCGAGAAACGAGCCATCGTGAGAATATAATACTCAAATAATCTCTGGCCGCTGAAGACATGTAGTCTGACGGAAGAATTTGAAAGCTGACTGCAGGCAAGGAAACTGGAAAGACAGCAAGCTCTGTTGTGCGCGCAGGAAATCTGCGCATGCGCAGAGCGTGGGCATGTGATGTCTATGAAACACAGCAGTATGTAGAGAGAGCAAGATTGTGCACACACGTAAGGAGGGTTATGCAACCCGTTATAAAGGCCAACAGCGAAGCAATGGTATGTGACTGTTAACAACGGTTAACTCCAACATTAACCGAACATTTATTGACGCTTTGTACGGTCGTGGTGAGCCCTGACAGTGGCCTACCGATTAGGCTACCGGGGATCACACACACACACACCAGTGGGTCTTTCTTGCTACAAAACTCACTGGTGTTGTCATTGAGCCACTACCAGTGATATCTTTAGCGGACTGTGTGAAAGCACCGGCAGAGTTACCGCCGATCGCAAAGATGCCAAGCAGAGCTTGTCTGGGGCCCTTCAAGACGTTACTGAAGTAACGTCTTTTGCATAGCTACAGGAGTAAAATTCTTCATAATAAGCTGAGACTCTCCTTTCCTCCTTTACTCCCAATCGATCTCTCCACTTCCACCGAAACTGGGTGACTGCGCTCTACTAGATGGGGATTTGTATGCACAATGTCACTAAAAGCGCCGTTTCGCTCTTATAAAAGCTCGGATGACCGCGATTGGCCCATATGTTGTAGTCTTTTGGATGCTGAATCGTCTGGTCTTGGTCCGGAAAGGCTGCGATGCAGCGTTCGGCTCTTATTCCCAATTGAACACGGGTGAGTAAACGGTCATGTGCTCATGCATACACCAGTCACTTGGTCACCGTGCCAACAGGCTACAACTGAGCCTGTTTGGGCGCGTTCCTGTCGCTCGAGTTGAACATTTGAAACTTTGACTTGAACTTTGGCGTGAAAATCGTAGCCTGCAGGCACGTTGACCAGACGACTGGTGTACGAATGAGTACGTGACCCCTTTCTCAGCCATGTTCGATTGGGAATACTGAGGGCCGAACGCTGCATCGCAGCCTTTTCAGACCAAACCATTCGACTCCGCATCCAAAAGACTCAACATATGGGCCAATCGCGGTCATCCGTGCTTTTGTAAGAGCGAAACGGCGCTTTTAGTGACATTGTGCCAAAATTTTCTCTCAGGTACAAGATGGCCATTTTGCATGCAAATCCCCATCTAGTAGAGTGTAATCACCCAGTTTCAGTGGAGGTGGCGAGTTTTATTGGGAATAAAGGAGGAAGAGAGCGTCTCAGCTTCCTTGGACCAAGACAATGCGACTCAGCACCCTGAAGACTACAAAATTAATAGAGAGAATTTGATTTAACACAAGCATCTGCATGCTGCACTCACATAACGAACAACCAGTTTTGGGAATAGGAGGGTTTGTCAATTGCTTTGCCAGGCTCCGAGTGAGTGATAGCTTAGAGCTGTGTGAATGTGTGTGTGTATGGCAGCTGGGCAGGGCCCTGCTGCGGAGGCTGAGTGAGCCTTATGGAGGCTGAGTGAGCCGTATTGAGAGGCTGAGTGAGCCGAGGCTGAGCGAGCCGTCTGAGTGTGGATGCTGAATGAGCCGTATGAGGAGCCTGGTAAGCAAGGTTGACTTCCCTCCGTGTATTTACAGAGTTTCGCCGGTAGACGGCATCGGTGTAGTTATTGTAGGCCGATATGATAATGGATACGGACAGGAGAGAACTAGAACAGGAAACAGGATGATGACAATAGTGGAGTGGGTGGGTTGAGAAAGAAATCCACTGCCAATGCGGACACAGCAAGAACTGAAATCAGGAACAGTGAACTTCGAAGAACAATGAGCGCGTGAAAGTTTGTTGGGAACAGAGCATCGTCAGGCGAAATTACTGGTCATTCGGCGACACGCATTTTTCACAAAATTTTGCGTTTCACCTGCTGGGAGAGTATGCGTGTACTCGAGACTCATCCTGAGCACGCTTTTTTCTTCTTTTTCAGCTCCAGTATAGCTGTATTTTTCATTGCAAAGCCGTCCTCGATTCTTGTGTTCGTTGGTCAAACGAAGTGGACATTCAATCATGAAGGCAGAGGACATAGGAGCCTGATTGGAGTTTCTCGTGGCATAGGACGGCCACACAGAGACACTTTGGGATTTTCTGAATATAAAATACCGTACGCACGATGCTGAGATCAATTTGTGCGATATCAAATTGTTTGTGATCTACCACATCGAGCAGAACGGGATCCAAACACAAGCTAACCGACGGTTAGGCTGCCGACAAATGATCCCTGGCTTCACCAGACGCCAGAAGTCGGACACCATGTCCTTTACCATGTCCATCTCCAAAAAGAACTCCATCTTCGTCGTGAAAAGGCTTGAAATACCCAATATTCAACCGAGATTCGCGGTCTCACCCATTCTCAGATCGAATCATTTTTTGTTGTAGCAGTTGCAGGGCAGATCCCCGCCACTACTTCAACAGGGGATGGCTCCAAAGCATGCCTGGAACAAGCCATATCGAGGTTGCAAGCCACCCCTCTCAACAAGAAATTCGAAATTTAAATGGTGGAAGATATACTATGAAGAGAATTTCAAAAAGTATGTTTCGCGGAGCGATCGCTCAACCTACATCATTCAAACTTGGCAGGATGGTTCAGACGTACATCCTAGGCATGGAACCACAGGCGAATATGCCATAGCTGACACACAGAGCCACACACACAGCAGATTTGTGTGCACAGATACTAAATTAGTGGACGTCGTCATCTTCTTCCCGCTGATCTCAAATGTACTATGACGTGCTATTTCGCCTGACGGCGCCTTCTGTGTTAACATATTTTTTGCGAGTGCTCAAAAAATCATTTTAGGGTATACTTCCCCTTTAAATTCGATGTTGTCCGGCCATTTCTGCATCAATTACATTCTTTATTGCACTTATAAATTTTCTTTCTTCACGCCGACTCTTCAATGCCCACTTTGGCAAACATTTTGGAATAATGGACGCAGATGGCGAGCCCAAGGATTTATTCATAGAAAAGAAAAAGGAAAAAGGAAGTACAATTTACGCTATAATGTCCACTAACAATGTTATCGCATGAGCTGATTGTTAAGTAACGGGTAAAATAGAAGGAGAAAGGGTGGGGGTCGACTTACAACCGGGTTTCGACTTATAACGGGAACTATCAGTATCTTACAAAAAATGACCTGCACTGCATGCACGGCTGCACCATGTGTAGACATTAATTTTGTGCCTGTTTACTTGCCTTTTTCAAGGATTGGGACGTTATACCCTCCAGTAAAGAATGTTTACATGATTTGTTGATGTGTTACCAGCAGGGAGTGCTTTGTAGTGCTTCGATGGGTTAAAACTTTAAAAAGCAGAATTGAGATTTCCAGATATGGGGGTCGACCTATAACCGGGGTCGACTTACAACCGGTAAAATACGGTACTTCCTTAGTCCTTTTTCTTTTCAACAAATTTGCAATAACTATATACAGCACCAAACAAGGACAATCAAGGCTTGTTTGCTGCGACTTCAAGTTTCATGCTATCCGAGGTTGACGCGCCTTGGGGTGTCCATTGTTAGGGTAGCACAGCTAAGGTAAGAGTGCTCTACCACGGAAAGTGGGAGCTAATTCACCGGAGGGTGTACCCAGTGTGCTGACAGTGCTCAACACCGCGGGGCAACAACTATAATTATACATAACTTCCCAGCAACATGCCACAAGGAGAAGGAAGTTAAAAAGAACCCTGATGCACATTCACAAACCCATATCTAGGACAAACACCTAGAAACTGTATACATTCAGTTTACCTGTGATGCTACTCCACTTTCTGCTGTAGCGCTGTTGTTGTTAAGGTCCAGCGAAGTATCGCCCAAACCCGGAATGCTCGAAGCCTGTAAAAAGCAATGGAAAACCCGGATTATATAGTCATTATGGATCACAGGTTAATTTTTAAACATTTCGTCGCCCGTACACATTTCAGATGTGCGTTTCACAGTCACACTTTGACTCGCATTCACTCACCGATGCTTGCGATTGCTTGAGATCCACGTCACTGTCTGCTCTCTGGTACACATTGGCAGCCCGTACCATGTCTTATTATGCATTCTTGTTGTACCCTGCACGCACTACGCTCCGTATGCGTGTCTTGCACATATCCGTGTCCTACCTAACTAGGATTCTATGCGTATGCATCTGGACACTCTCGCGATTCCCGTCTCTGTACTGCCTTCTTTGCACCAACGCTTATCCTTGTAGTTTTATTAGTTTCCTTTGTCTTTTGTCCTTGTTCATGCAAGGTAACAGAACAACATAACATGGTGTCAGAATAATTCGAAATAGTTTTCATTTTAGTAGCCTGTTGGTAGTTTTGCATCGGGATCAGTCATGCCCAAGACAATGCCCAAGGTGCAGAGCTCGGACGCGGCCTCCGCTACTAGCTCTGAGCTTTCGACTTCCGACGTAATGGCTCAACTGTTGACGACTCTGGGAGCAACAACAGCAAGCCCATGAACTAAACACCGCCGCCCAGTCTGCCTCCACTGCGTAGCTTCTGCAGCAGATCACGGCAACGGTCTCGGGCCTGGTTCAAACCGCACCAGCGCAGGCTCCGGCGCGCACGCCGCCGCTGCCGAATTTTCGTTCCCTGAACGATTCAGACGATGCTGACGCCTGGTTCACCATGGCCGACCGTGTCCTCACTGGTCATGGGATCGCACCAAATCGCTTCGCGCTAGCCATAGCTCCTCACCTCACTGGCAAGGCTTACAACGCGATGTCAGCAAACGACACCACGGACTTTGCTCTCGTCCGTACTGCCGTGCTTCGCCGGTTCCATGTCGATGCGAAGCACTATAGGAAAAAGTTTCGTTCCGACACTCTAGTTGAGAGTACCTCGTACGTGGATCTGGCTACGCGTCTGACCGATATTTTCAATAAATGGATGGCTGCTGAGAATGCTGGCGATGTCGCTGCTGTACGCGACGTTCTGGTACGAGAGCAGCTCATCGCTACATTGTCACAGGACGCACGTACCTTTGTGTTGGAGCACGAGGATAAATCTGCCTTGGACACAGCCAAGCTAGTGGATACCTACGTCAGTGCTCGCCCTCCACCAGTCCAAGGCATCTCCGCAGTTTCTTCTGGGTATGGCAAACCCCGATCTGCCCAACCAGCCCGTACCTGTGACTTCTGTGGTGGTCCACATCGCGCACGTTCGATATGTCCAGCCAGGGAGAAGTCGTGCTCTGCATGCGGCAAAACAGGCCATTATGCCAAAGTATGTCGTACCACTAAGCGCCGCACAGGCAAGGTTGACCAGTGCGACCAGTTGGATGAGCCACCAGAGTGTACACTGCCTGCTTCGGTGTCTGCCTCTACGCTGTCTGCTTTGGACGTGACTCCTCTGTTCCTGGGTGCCGTTTCATCCTCAGCCAAAGCATGGTACGTGGATGTGAACGTCAATGACTCCTCGATCCGCTTCAAAGTGGACACTGGCGCGGAGGTCACAGTAATTTCCAGTGCAATCTACGAGTGCATGACGGTTCGACCACCGTTAACACCGTGCCATAGTGGATTGTTCAGCGCTACGAATGACCAGCTAAGAACGCTCGGTCAGTTTTCAGCCACGCTCACGCGCCCCGGCCAGCCACCAGTGACAGCGCCAGTTTACGTTGCACAGGGCCTGCGCCACAGCCTTCTCAGTTGCCGGGAGTCTGAACGCCTAGGACTGGTGAAGCGTCTCTTTGACACATCTGAACCCACGCAGCCACAAACCGATCCTGACACAGCACCAATGCTGCCAGTTTCGTCTGACTCCTCCGTTCACCCCCCTGAGTTGCCGCAGGAGTCCTCTAATGAGCAATCTTCAAATCGTCTCCCGGATGATCTCTCTAGCACTATGCCTGATTGGGTTCTGCTCGAGTTTCCGCATCTATTTACCGGCCTAGGGAGCATGGCAGATGAATATCACATTGCTCTGACCGACAATGCCCGTCCTACTAGTATATACTCACCGCGCAATGTCTCTCTGCCACTGAGGGCCAAGGTACACCAAGAGCTACAGCGCATGGAGTTTTTGGGAATAGTTAAGCCCGTCTCTGGTCCCACTGACTGGTGCCATGCCATGGTTGTAGTGCCGAAGCCGGATAAGTCCGTGCGCATCTGTGTGGATTATAAGCCTCTCAACGCTTTCATCCGTCGGGAATTACATCAACTCCCGACCGTCGACGAAACGCTGGCCCAACTGGAGGGTTCCACAGTGTTCACCAAGTTAGATGCCAACTCTGGGTTTTGACAAATCCCACTCAGTGAAGCATCCCAGTCCCTGACAACATTCATCTCGCCATTCGGCCGGTTTGCTTTTACTAAACTGCCGTTTGGTATTTCGTCCGCGCCAGAAGTGTTTCAGCGCCGCATGAGTACCGTTCTTCAGGACGTACCCGGCGTGGCCAGCATGATAGACGATGCTCTAGTTGGTGGTACGGACCAGGCCGAGCATGACGAACGTCTCCGCATTGCCCTCCAGCGGATCTCAGATGCTGGCATGACACTGAACCCGCGCAAGTGCCAGTTCTCCACGGATTCTCTCTCGTTCCTCGGTGTCCGTATCCAAAATGGCCTCATCACGCCGGACCCTGGAAAGGTTTCTGGGCTCGCGAACTTTCCAGTACCTAAGTGTGTGTCATCACTCCGTCGCTTCCTCGGCATGGTCAACCAACTAGGCAAGTTTTCTCCACGGGTCGCAGAGTTGACTGAACTATTGCGCGTGCTTCTGTCCAAGAAATCGTCTTGGGTCTGGGACTCACCCCAACAGAGTGCATTTGAAGGCATCGTCACGGAGCTCTCACAAGCCCCAGCGCTACTCCCGTATTCTACCCGCTATGATACGAAGGTCTCTGCCGATGCGTCTGCCTACGGCATTGGAGCTGTTCTCTTCCAACGCCGCTCACCAGCAGCCGACTGGCAGCCGGTCTCATGTGCCTCTCGTTCACTGTCACCGGCCGAGCTGAATTATGCACAGATCGAGAAGGAGGCTCTCGCACTAACGTGGGGTTGCGAGCGCTTCTCTCACTACCTTCTTGGACCACAAGCCGTTGGTTCCACTCTTCAATACGAAGCTGCTGTACTCCCTGCCAGCTCGAATCCTACGCTTTCGGCTGCGCATGGCCAGGTTTGCCTACGATGTTATTCATGTGCCTGGCAAATATCTGTATTCCGCCGACGCCTTGTCACGGGCTCCAGAACTGTGTTCCGCCAGTCGCCCAGCTGCCGACACTGAGCTCCAGGAAGACGCGGAAGCATATGCTCAGGTCACGCTTTCCGCAGTCGAGCAGCTGGACGCATCACTGGCTTCGATTGGCGAAGCACAAGCTGCCGATTCAGTGTGTCAGCAGCTGCTAACGCTCATCACCGATGGTTGCCCTGCCTCATCCAAGACTCTCTCACCAGACATAGAGTATTCTGGCCGCTACGACATGAGCTCACCATCACCTCGGGCATCATCCTACGAGGTCAGCGCATATACATTCCGCCAGCATTGCACAGTGAGATGTTAGCGCTGATCCACACCGGTCATCAAGGCGAAGTACGATGCAAACTGCGTGCTGCCAGTTCTGTTTGGTGGCCAGGCCTCGCAACAGCAATCTCTAACTTGGTTGCCAACTGCCCCCAGTGCGCAGAGCATCGTCTGCAGCCAGTTGAGCCGCTCATGGCCACCGCCACTCCTGAACGGCCCTGGCACACGATTGGCGTGGATTTCTTCCAGCATACTCGCACCAACTGGTTGGTTGTGGTCGATTACTACTCTCGCTACCCTGAGGTCATCACCGTGTCGTCTACCACCGCTAATAATAGGGAGTTCAGTCACGTGACAAATCAGCTGAAAACAGCCTTCACGCGGGTCACGTACATTAGCATGGTAGCGGTGGCACCATGGACTTCGCTGCAGTTTTCGTCGAACTGCTTTGTCCTGCTTTCTTTTTCAAAATTGAAAGTTGGTGCGTTTTATAGCTGAGGTCTTCCTGCTCGTTTTGGTGCCGCACTTGCTTGGGCAACTGTAGTTTGAGCTTTTTGTTGTGAGGAGTGTAGTTTTCAATTGGATTTTTCATCCGGTTGGAGGGAGTACACGGCCAGGAAACACCCACCATCGTGTTCAGCGACCTCGAATTATGTAGAATAGTGCTTTCTTCTCGAGCTGGGGGATCGCTCTTCATCGCGCTTTCAAGACTTTCACCTCCTGGTCGCCCAAAATGAATGAATTTCTGGACCCAATATGTTCAAGCGCTAGGAGTGTTTCAGATGATTTGTTGGCCCTAGTGAAAGATTGCACCTGACGGAGACTTTCGCTATTGCGACAAAAGTGAGCTATGATTTTGTATTCGACTCGTCGCCTTGAAACCAGAAAGAAATTGCTATGGAGTGGTGCTCTGACATGGATCGCGTCAGTGATTGGATTGTACGCATATTTCACTATTGTGCATTTTACATGTAAAATGTACATGTACATGTACATGATTGATCAACTGTGTGACAGCCGCAGTAAAGTTGGGCATCTGAAGACCAAACTGTTGTATTTATTATTTGTACATGTATAATACAACCATAGCCATCAGTGCTCACTTCAATTTCATAGTAATGGTACTCGTGTTCAATGGATTTAGCATTGTTGCTATGGTGGTTGCTACGGGCGCCGCGCTTGTTCTCATTGGTCATCGCTGGCCGAAATATTATATTTTGATCAATATTAGGACTAACCAACCTGTATTGCACCTATATTACACCTATATTGCACCTACAAGCCAGATTTCATAGCATTCTGACAATATTGTAATGTTGCTAAGCGTTTGCTAGGCTTTCCGGAAAACCCTGTTGGTGCCACAGCAGTATGGCATTCCGCATACATCATGATGAAGGTTGGCGTATGACTTTGACGCCTCATATCTCTGGTATCCTTCAAGATTTTTCATCCAAATTTTCTGTGCTATCTCCTGTACTGTAGTTCTTCCCGAAAACAAACAGTTTTCTTGGTTTACTACGAAAGAAAAAATACGGTGATATCCCTACTAAAAAACTCGTGGACACACTTCACTCGCTTTTCAGCCGCCATGGTGTTCCTGCTGTTGTTCGCTCTGACAATGGCCCGCAATTTGCTTCGGAGGAGTTCCGCACGTTCAGCCGTCAACTCAATTTCCAGCACGTCACCAGCAGTCCACATCACCCGCAGAGTAATGGAGAAGCCGAGCGCATGGTCCGTACAGTCAAGGACATGCTCAAGAAGAACGCCACCACGAGGCAGTTGTATGATGCTCTACTTGCCTATAGAGCTACTGCCCTGCCACACTGTCGCTATAGTCCTGCCGAATTGCTAATGGGACGCAAAGTCAAAACCCCGCTCCCTCAGCTGCCATCGCAACTTCTGCCTGATGCTGTCAACCACGACGCATTTCAAGCTGCTGATGCACAGCAGAAAGCCAAGTCTACCCGGCAATACGACCTCCGGCACCGCACTCGTGACCTCCCTCCTCTGGTACCGGGTGACACTGTTACGTCTGCCGCCGGCCCCTCGAAGGAGAAGGCAACAGTGATCGCAGTTGCTCCAGAGCCGAGGTCACTCGTCATCAGAACGCAGTCCGGAGCTGTTGTTCGACGCAACCGCTGCCACCTGCGAAAGCATCCTAATGCTTGACAGTGACTGTTTCTTGTCGCTCTCAGTATCTGTGGACTCTCAGTATCTGTATGTGTCCAGTGGCGGGTTTAGGGGGGGGGGGGGGCGCGGGGGGCGCGCGCCCCCCCCCCCCTCAAAAATTTCGACCTAGGTTTCGAAAAATAATACAGGGCGCGCGCCGGGTCGAGCTAGACTAGTATATAGGCTCGGGGCGCGCGCGGCCTGAAACGATTGTCCAAAAGCGGTTGCACGGTGCGCGCATGCGGTGCTCGAGCTGGTGTTGATTGTACACACTACAGACTCGTACAGTACAGTCTACAGTCCAGAGTAGAGTCTACGTACAGTGAGCATGCATGGCTACAGAAACACGGTGACCTGACTGTGTACTGTTGTACAGTGTGATCCCTGTTGGGACGCGCTCGACGCGTCTTCAACGGTACAAACATCGAAGAAAAGTCTTCGATCGAGTCAACCAAAACACGATTCGAATGCCGAGGGCTCAGGCGATCATCCTCGTTCGAATCGTGTTTTGGTTAACTCGAAGGCTTTTCTTCGATGTCTCAGGGATATCCCAAAAGGCCAAGCTCTAGCCAGCAGAGCCTAGAATTTTTGTAAAGCGTTCCTGTGGCGGCGCAACTCCTGCTGCCGCTCCAACAGGAAACAGTGGGAGTGATGAAGTCGCTGTTATTCCAGTTGAACTTTCGGAGCGGACTGACAGTCACACTCCACCAGACGTGGAAGAACCTGTTGTCAGCGAGCAGCCAGAACATGAAGAACAGCGCACAGTGACAAGTACCGCTGCCTATGTAAAGGATGCTTTGAGAGCGGTGAGAAATTGTTGGACTCGCATAAATAATTGCAGTTGATTCGCTCACATAACGGCAAATTTGAAGTTTACAATGTACATTGTTGCTGCGAGTACAGAAATACTGCTCGTGGTGTGTGAGATTTACGGCTTGTTGTTGTTGTTGTTGTTGTTGTTGTTGTTGTTGTTGTTGTTGTTGTTGTTTATTTTACTTCACCAAATGCACAGGCAGAGATGCCTTCTCACCTGCCCATAGGACAGGTTCTCACAGAATGATATGCAAGGGAAAACAAGATTAATGATAATAATAATAATATAAGACAGAAAGGACCAAAAGAAGAAAGGGAAAAATTTATATGAAGAACAATTTCATGGAGTCAAAGAATAGAAAGACAATCTCATGGAGTCAGGAACACGTGGTTGATTTTATAGACATGCATGCACAAATGATTGATAGATGAGAAGGTTGGAATTTATGGCAGATAATAAAAGTTTAACGAGGATATTCACAAAGTAAGTATAGCAATGGGAGAAAGAGTTTTTCGGAAGGGACCAGGGACACGTATCACTCTAAAATCAGAGGGGAGAGCGTTCCAGAGAATGCTTCCCCAAAACATCATGCTCGATCGTCCCTCAGGCCCACGAAGAAAGGGAACTTGAAGCAAGGTCGACACTTGTCCCCATGTGGTGCGCTGATCCTCCGGAACTGTCTCTGGCCCTGGGGCCGTTCGGGTGAATAACTGTTGAAGAAGGGGGCTACAGGAGGAGCTTCCTGACATCGGTTTTCAAAATGGCTGACCTGGGACAGTAGCATGATGTCATCTACCCCCACCCCATCCCGCCTTGATCCCGGCCGCAACCCCCCCTCAGCCTAATCCTGGACACGCCACTGGTGTCTTCCTTCTTTCTTCTTGTATCTGCTATATTCTGTCTGTCCAAGTCTGTCGACTCTCTCTATATCACTCTCTCCTTTTCCATCCAGGCTGTTTGTATAGTTTTGTCTTCTCTCTCCTTTCTTACCTCGCTCGCTGAAGGGGGAGATGTTGTGTATGCACTACCGTATTTATGCATGTTCTCTTATGGACTGCCCTGTCCATGTATGATGCTCCCCTACTCTGTGCTGCATCTACTGTGTTCTATGTATGTAACTCACATGTCTTATTATGCATTCTTGTTGTACCCTGCACGCACTACGCTCCGTATGCGTGTCTTGCACATATCCGTGTCCTACCTCACTAGGATTAGATGCGTATGCATCTGGACACTCTCGCGATTCCCGTCTCTGTACTGCCTTCTTTGTACCAACGCTTATCCTTGTAGTTTTATTAGTTTCCTTTGTCTTTTGTCCTTGTTCATGCAAGGTAACACATAACACTTATCACGTTTCAACGCCTCCCACATTTCATCAGTGTCAACGTCTTCGTCCAGCAGGAAGTCTTGTTCCGTGTTGACTAGTAGAAATGCTAAATCTACTGCATTCAGTGAATCCTGCATCACGTGACCAAACAACAACTGAGGCAGAGTACAGCAAGGGTATGACAATAAAGTACAGAGTACAGAGTACAGAGAGTACAGAGTACAGAGTACAGGGAGTACAGAGTACAGAGTACAGAGAGTACAGAGTACAAGAGAGTATGGCAAGGGTACATGCGAACCAGCGTGTATCACTGTATATTGACTAGAACAGCAGCACCATCAGGACTGATAGAATGATAGAATGACCTGTACACATTTCAGATGTACGTTGCATGGTCACACTTTGACATGCATTCACTCACCGATGCTTGCGATGGCAGGCCTGTATCTGCTGTTGCCGATAGATCAGCTGCTCCCATCTGAGCCACTGCGGTCAACACAAGAGAAGCACCACCAGTACTTGTACTTGGTAATGTAATTTCACAATTTTCTGACAGTCAGCTTGTGCACACCAGCATGCCAGCAGCATTCCTACGTCCAAATTCACGTTGTCAAAATCATATCCCACCACAACCCTGGACAACAGCAGCATACATCAAACTGCCTTACTTCCTGTGCTGCCCGAATCAGACTGTGCTGTGTCGCCGGAGTATAGAGTGCCAGTGGCACCCATTACCGGTAGCATGTCGTCACCAAACATCTGAACAGAAGACCAGCAGTAAAACACACCCAGTTAGTGAGACCAAGCTGTGTAAATGTGTCAAGGTCTCGCAAAGGTGAGAAAGACAGAACGGAGAAGACAACTGATTCAATATATTGATCCCGGACGAGAAGCGAGTGCCTCCATGGAAGCGAGTTCCCCAACGCTGTACAAGCCTGTATATACATGTTTATACTGTAGTACCGCACTTGAATTGAATAAGTGCTCGAAATCAAAATGGGTACACTTTGCATATGGTACCTGCGATTATCACGCCACATTCACATATACAAGGACCTTCCTTGATATTCCAACACTAACTGTCTTGTACAGGGTCTGATCCAGAGATCTCCACAGGGGTTGCAGTTTATCCAAAGCTGAATAGCTGATACATGTATAGTACATGCATATGGATTCCAGTAGAAGATTTGCAAAATTTAGGGGGTTCCGCTTAACCCTTTGTGTACCAGCCCCATCTCGAACCGTAACGTACGTTACGGTTCGACGCACCGCACTGCGCCGCGCCGTTCGGCGGCGTCCTTGCTCCGATTGACTCGCGGTCTTTTGCGCTGGGCAGCTGAGATCCCACTGCAAATTTTGATGTATGATGTGGGTAGGTTGCCATTTGAAAGTATGGAGAACGAAAGCGGCGAAAAGTGCGCTTTGCAATTTCAGCGCTCTGCGATATATTTTAGCAATTTCGATCGTGTTTTCGTTCGGTTACGCTGCTTGTATCTGGAATATAGCTTGCTCTAGCTGTTGTCGATGTCTACTAGTGATGGTGAACGCCAAGAGAGAGTTGTAGTAGCGATATAATCTCAGGATCTGAATCGAAAATGAGAATTTCCATCGCTGAAGCCATTGCAGTATTCGCTCTCCAAGCAGCAGCGAGAGGGAGCGCAGCGATGGCCTGAAATAATCAAGGCAGGTGAATTTCCTCACCCATCGACTATTCCTGGTCTTCTCAATCGCCAATACCCTCGCTGGACGCAAGTAGATAAGTGAAAAGTACATATTCAAATCTGACACAATTTCAATAATTTGAAATTTTGATGCAATTGTTTGGCATCTGGTATTCACGCAATATGGCTCTTTTCCGTCCATTTCGCTATTGTTGAAGCATGCAACTGGCGGCTATACACTAGTGCAGTGGTCTCCTGTTGCTCTGTGTGAAGAAGGGCAATGTCAGCAAGTATATTCACGATTCCAAGTACACGGATCTAAATTGTCAGGAATATGGACAATTGACTCAGAAATAGGTATTCCAGGTATGGCCTGTATCTGTATTTGTGTGCTCGGTCAAAATATTTTCTTACCTGGACACATTGATACCAACAGATTCAAAAAAACATAACTTGCACATACAAAATGTGTCTTAGTTTTATGCTATAGGTCCATCATTACCGATGAGTACCCTGCGCATACATTAGATGCCTGGTACACAAAGGGTTAACCCCCGGAAGCCCCTGGACCCGTTCCTGTTATAGCCTTCAGCACCTTACCTGGGTGAGTTGCTCCTTTTTCTTTTTCTCATGAGCTGCTTCGTGCTGCGCTCTTTCCTTCAGTGGCCTTGAAAACGTTTGCTCGTCAATGTCTGCTCTCTGGTTTACTTCGGCAGCCTGTATCTGCAGCTCTTGACGTTCCAGGTCCTTCGCTAATTCATTCAGGTCTTCGCCATCCAGCCAGGCTTCTTCCATAATTTCTAAACCTGATGCATTCAGTGAAGCCTGCATCACGTGACCAAACAACAAGTGAGGCAGAGTACAGCAAGGGTGATGATAATAAAGTACAGAGTACAGAGTACAGAGAGTACAGAGAGTACAGAGTACAGAGAGTACAGAGTACAGAGATTACAGAGTACAGAGTACAGAGAGTACAGAGAGTAGAGAGAGTATGGCAAGGGTACAGGCAAACCAGCATGTATCACTGTACTGTGTTTGACTTATTAAAATGATGGTCACGTCTGGTGTGGAGTTTTCATTGGACAATATAATGTACAAACAGAATGATGGAGTCGCCATGGGATCGCCTTTGGGACCAGTCTTGGCGAACATATTTGTTGGCTTCTGCGAGTCGTCTATTGACCCTTCACTTTGGCCATCATTGTACTGTCGTTTTGTTGACGATGTGTATTGTCACGACGACGACAAGGAAACCTGTGATAGGTTCATGGAAACTCTCAACTCCTTACATCCAGCATTAAAATTCACATCAGATGGTGAAAACAATGGTACCCTTTCTTTCCTGGATGTTAGTATTTCTCGTAACATGGGTACGCACAACATGGACACGACCATTTATAGAAAGCCCACTTTCACAGGATTGTATATCCCATGGTCAAGTTTTACTCCAACTAAGTCCAAAACACACCTCGTCAAGGCCCTTGTCTACCGTGCACATAGGATATGTTCCCTTCATCTGCTGGACGAGGAACTAGAACGACTCTTAACCATAATGACAAAGAATGGCTATCCAAAGACACTTTTAATGAAACTCATCAACCAGAAACCGACCTTGGAAAAGACGATCACTTTTGGACCAGAGAGATGCCCTGTGGTACTACGTTTGCGATGGGTTGGTTCCGGTTCTTCGCGCGTCGAGAAGGAGGTGCGGAATATTGTTTGTTCCTCTTATCCGTGTGTCAAATTGTATGTCATCTTTGGGACGACCCGTGCGTTCAGCGGGAAGAAGGACGTTCCACCTACCCTAAGCAAAAGTAATTTAATCTATTTCTTTCAGTGCCGAAATTGTGAAAATCGGTACGTAGGTAGAACCTTTCAGCACCTGGGCGCACGGATTCGTCAACATGTACCGTTGAATCTTGTCCCTGTAGCTGCACGTGGTTCTCGGCCTCGGCGTGGTCGTCCACCGAAGTGTCCATTGCAGTCTGTGTCTGAGGTGGACTTGTCCAAGTCCGCTGTGGATATGCTTGCCGACCCCTCCTCCTTTTCGTCGGGCGCAGGGCTGGAGCCAACCCAAACAACAGTCAACAAGAAGAAGAGACAGATATGGAAACCACCGAAACTGACATCTGGACAATCGAGCCCCGGACGAGTCACCAGAAGCCAATTGAGGAGAGGAATTGAGGAAGAATCAAAAGAACCAATACTGGAAGTGACAACAACTGTTAATGTGAAGAAATGGGGTAGACCACGGAAGCAGGACAGACTGGACGTGGAGCAGCACACTGATCTCGACCAAGGCAATCGGAATTGCAGGGACGCAGGGCGTAGTGGGAGAGATTCGCAAGCGGCAGGATCGGAGGTGACAATGGCCAAGTCGTCCGGTCAGGGAAACGGTACCTCGGCAATCAAGTGACACTTGTCTGGCAGTGCTAGTTGTCGTGAGTGGTATTCCGATGATGTATTCTCTGTTTTGTCGCATGGTAGGTCTTTGTTACATCTTGCCATGTTGGAAGCTTTGTACATACGTAAGTTAGACCCTGAGCTTTGTGTTCAGAAGGAGAATGTGTTGTCTTTGCAGTTGTTTGGCACTGTTCGTCGTGAAGGTGCGAAATAGATCCCTTGATCTCTTGATATTTCTCTCATTTTCTTGTCACTACGTTTTTTGTCACTTATTGGATTTGCATGCTGTTTTCTTGATTCTTCACATCTTTTTTGTTTCGTGTCACTTCCTGTAGTATTTTGACAAGAAGAGAACGAAAACGTTCAATACTTTGACACATGTCACAATTGATCTTGTTTAGGCCACCCCAAATAAATTTGTTGTTTCGGGTCACCCGACCGACCGTCTATTTTCACCGGACCGCAAAATGTTTTTTTTTTACTGTGCATGCAAATGTACATGACTAGGCTAGGCATGTACACACGTGACCCTAAAATAATAATAGCAGTCCAGACGTCGATCTCAGAGTCAGAAGCAGCCAAATGACAGGCTGCAGTGCTTGGTGACGACGTTGTGTTCTCCGATCCGCGATCGGTCCTGAAACAACATCAGCTCCGCCACCGCGTCACTCATTGACAGAAGTTTTGGTTTGAGCTGCTCGTCAGACTCGTTTGCTAGCGAGGTCAAGATCTGTAGCTAGCTGGGGACCTAGATCTGAAGGCGTTGGATCGTCTAGATTTGATCGACTGGCTTGATGGAAAAAAGCTATTCGATAATTATTATTTATTTATTCAACATCTTATGGCTTCCGATGGCAGCCAAAACGTTATTATGGGTGCACATGGCCATATAGCGCGCATGGCAGTAACCAAAATAAAAATATATATAATAAAATAAAAAATAAACCCGACCGACCGACCCTGGTACGGATAAGTGAAGTGACCCGAAACAACGAATTAATTCTAGGTGGCCTTATTGCCATTTTGTAAAAAATGGGGTGCGACTTAAAATCGAGCATGACTTTCCACTAGGGGTGAAACGGTTCGGGTAAGGAACCGGTTTTGGAACCGCCAGCTGAAAAGAATCGGGTACCCGTTCCGTCAAATTTCGAACCGAAACTCGAAAAACCTCGTTCTCGTACAAATACATGTACAAACCAAGTCTACTCAAGATTTTTAAATGTCTTACCTTATGATCACTGCCCTTCCAAAGGGTTCTCCTATCGATCCTGGTCACTACGAGCGTACCTTCTTTGCACATGGACTCTCCGATATCTCGTTCTTGCTCGTAAAAATGTTTTCTAACTTGGAAATAATTGTCACGGACGCATTTGGTCGGTCTGGAGAAAAGAGTGCATGGAACCGATACCCGAACCGTGGGAAACTATGCTGGCATTCGCGTACCCGAACATGAAAAACATGGAACCGTTTCACCCCTACTTTCCACTGAAGTGAACAATCAAAACAGTATGGCTCAAACCTGAAAATGAGGGTGTGACTTATATTGGATTGTCACTTATACTGTATTCGGAGAACCTGTAGTTGTGGGCAATCGGGTGAACAGCGTTGTACAAGCCGGTATATTCATGTTTGTACTGTAGTACCGTAATGAATTGAATGAGAGCCGGAAAATACAAACGGGTACACTTTTGCAAACGGTACCTGCGATTAACACGTCACACACATACATACAAGGACCTTCCTTGATATTCCAACACTAACTGTCTTATACTGGGTGTGATCCAGAGATCTCTACAGGGGTTGTAGTTTATCCAAAGCTGAATAGCTGATACATGTACAGTACATGCATATGGACTCCAGTAGTAGATTTGTAAATTTAGGGGGTTCCCCTTAACCCCCGGAACCCCCTGGACCCGTCCCTGTTATAGACTTCAGCACTTTACCTGGGTGGGTTGCTCCTTTTGGGTCTTCTCATGAGCTGCTTCTTGTTGCGCTCTTTCCTTCATTTCCCTTATAACCGTTTGCCAGACAATGTCTGTTCCCTGGTTCACGTCGGCAGCCCGTAATTGTAGCTCGTCACGTTCCAGGCCCTTAAACATTTCATCCAGCATTTCTTCATCTAGCCGGTCTTGTTCCTTGATACGTTGAATTTCTAAATCTGATGCATTCAGTGAAACCTGCATCACGCGACCAAACAACAAGTGAGGCAGAGTCCACCAAGGGTATGACAATCATGTACAGAGTACAGAGTGCAAAGTACAGAGAATACAGAGTACAGAGTACAAAGTACAGAGTAACTAGTTACTGAGTACAAGAGAGTACACAGTACAGACTACAGAGTGCAAGCGAGTATGGGAAGGGCACAGGCAAATCAGCGTGTATCACTGTACTGGGTCCGACTTATTAAAATGTGCGCTTCATTTCAAAACTCAAGCCTTCGTACAAATGTAGTAAAAGATCAACCAAGGGACGGTAGATAGACTGTATCGTTTCTTGGCATGACCGTCTATTTTTCATCGCTGCTGGTGTCTCAGGGCGCATCTGCAAGTGTGTCTCCCTGAAAAACGGCGACATTTTTGTCATCTCCTCCAAGCTATGCTGCTCTTCCTTGATATCTTCACTCCATAGGCACGATTTAGATGATCGCTTTTGCCTCTTCCTCGTGTTTCATGCAGTCAGACCATGAGTGCATGCTATTCCCTGTGTTACGAATCCACTGGACCCGCAGACGGGTCATCTTGTGACGGAGCTTTTAGCATAAGTAGCTTGATGTAGCGATGACGCATCGCAATCACGGCTCCGAGAACTCCGCACCATTTACGCACCGTATCCGTCGAACAATTCACACTTTCTTCGTTTCAGTTTTACTCTCAGTTTGTCGCATGAGAGGCAACCCCGGGGGTGGTTGTTTATTTTGATCAGATTCTCGGCTTCTGTGATATTGATTCCCTGTTATAAGCTTCAGTGCTGGATAGCACCTTACCTGGGTGAGTTGCTCATTATATACACTTCTCATACATACCAATTCTACCAAGTTGCTTCATGTTATGGCCCTGCGGTTCAAAGCACTATTTTGATATGTGGCCCGCTTTCTCTTACGGTACAGTACGGCACATGTACGGGATAGCGCGCCAGGTATGGTGCGTCACGTTGGGACTGGCCCGCCCGACGCCACACACACACATACACAATTAGGCGGGCGGACCCTGGCTAGCGCCAGACGTTGCTAGAGTAATTATATTCATAGCTTTAGGATTAAAACTGCCCTATAATTCTCCTTTGTACTACCTTGATTCCACGCATAAAAGTCGCAGTATTTTGACGCTAAAGTTCGAGGGCAAAAAAGGGCAAGGTGTAAACTTCGCATTTTGTACTTGCTGGCTGCTGTATTTCTACTTGAAATCATATACGCTACATGCATCATAAGTGTGTGTGTTTAGTTATTACATTTTATTTATTTATTTTTTATTTATTTATTTCTGCACTTCGTGGCATGTCAAGACAGCCAATTGAATTGAGGAGAGGGTGAGACCAACCACGGAAGAAGAGAAAAATGAAGATGAAGAGCACGTACACAAAGTGGGAAGGGATTAGCAACTTACAAAGCAATGGGATGCTCAGCGAGCTATGCAGCGGAAGTGGGGACTGTGACTTTGTTTACTGGGAGATACTGTCTGACGAGGGTAGGGTGGTGGGGCGCTACAGAGATAGGGTGACCGGGATCATCGGGAAAGTGGAAGATGGGCACTGGATCTGTGGGAGGGGGAAAAAGGAGGAGCTCGGTTTTGGTCACATTTGGCTTAAGGTACCAAGTGCTCATCCAGTGAACAATGTCATTGATACAGGTCTGAATTGTGACGGCGGTCCACTGATGAAAGTCACGAGAAAATGTTATGGAACTAAACTTTACCGAAGGAAAAAGGACATATGGAAACGAATTAAAAGTTAGCGCTGCAGAGATGTGTTGAACCTAGGTGTCAGGACGTCGAATGTCTCAGTACTCTGTCAGTTTTGTGCCTAGTTGTTGCACTTTCTGACTGTATAATTATAGTATCTAGTTACAGTGGTGGAGAGTTTCAAAATTCACTTTCCTCGTTTTTTTGTAGTTGTTATGAGTGCACAATTGATCTTGTTTAGGCCACCCAGACTAAATTCGTTGTTTCGGGTCACCGGACCGACCGTCTTTTTCACCCGACCGCAAAATGTTTTTTTTTACTGTGCATGCAAATGTACATGACTAGGCTATGCATGTAAAAACGTGACCCTTAAACAATAATAGCAGTCCAGACATCGATCTCAGAGTCAGAAGCAGCCAAATGACAGGCTGCAGCGCTTGGTGAAGACGTTGTATTCTCCGATCCGCGATCGGTCCTGAAACAACATCAGCTCCGCCACCGCGTTGCTCATTGACAGACGTTTTGGTGAGAGCTGCTCGTCAGACTCGTTTGCTAGCGAGGTCAAGATCTGGTCCTGGAGCTAGCTGGGGACCTAGATCTGAAGGCGCTGGATCGTCTAGATTTGATCGACTGGCTTGATGGACAAAAGCTATTCGATAATTATTATGTATGCACACGGCCATATGGCGCGCATGGCAGTAACCAAAATAAAAAAATATATAATAAAATAAAAAATAAACCCGACCGACCGACCCTGGTACGGATGAGTGAAGTGACCCGAAACAACGAATTAGCCTTATTGCCATTTTGTAAAAACGGGGGCGCGACTTACAATCGAGCATGACTTTCCACTGAAGTGAATATATCAAAACAGTATGGCTCAAACCTGAAAATGAGGGGGTGACTTATAATCGATTGTCACTTATACTGTATTCGGAGAACCCTTAGTTGTGGGCAATCGGGTGAACAGCGTTGTACAAGCCTGTATATTCATGTTTGTACTGTAGTACCGTATTGAATTGAATGAGAACCGGAAAATCCAAATGGGTACACTTTTGCAAACGGTACCTGCGATTAACATGCCACATACATACAAGGACCTTCCTTGATATTCAAACATTAACTGTCTTATACAGGGGCTGATCCAGAGATCTCTACAGGGGGTTGCAGTTTATCCAAAGCTGAATAGCTGATACATGTATAGTACATGCATATGGATTCCAGTAGGAGATTTGCAAAATTTAGGGGGTTCCGCTTAACCCCCGGAACCCCACGGACCCGTCCCTGTTATAGCCTTCAGCACTTTACCTGGGTGAGTTGCTCATTTTGCATTTTCTCATGAGCTGCTTCGTGTTGCGCTCTTTCCTTCAGTTCCCTTATAACCGTTTGCCAGGCAATGTCTGCTCCCTGGTTCACGTCGGCAGCCCGTAATTGCATCTCGTCACGTTCCAGGCCCTTCCACATTTCATCCATCATTTCTTCATCCAGCCGGTGTTGTTCCTTGATACGTTCACATCACGTGACCAAACAACAAGTTAGGCAGAGTCCACCAAGGGTATGACAATAATGTACAGAGTACAGAGTACAAGAGAGTAAAGAGTACAGACTGCAAAGTACAGAGTACAGAGTACAAGAGAGTACAGAGTACAGAGCACAAGAGAGTATGGCAAGGGTACAGGCAAACCAGCGTGTATCACTGTACTTGGTCCGACTCATGGCCAGCAATCGAGGACATCTGAGAGTTGTAATTTTTGTACTCCTCCGAGGTGTGATTTTTGGCGTGCTGGGCCCAGCACAAGGAAGCCATCTGCAAAAAAACTGCAGAAAATGGTTGTTGTTTGATCCTTTGGTGTAATCTTTGTTTCTAGTTGAAGCTAGTTGCTGTTTGGAGCAGAAACGCTGAAATTGACTATTTTCTGCATGTACTCATACATGTACTCATGTACTCAGGCATGCAGTCTCACTCGTATTTTAGCTCTTTTTCTGGAATGGATGCTGCTCTGCGCCCCTTGGTGAACATTTCCTGCGCTCGTGGAGCAGCTGAAAAGGACCACTGGTATGTCTGGTTCCTGGTTTGAAAGTGGAGAGTCGACTTTTGTGCCTTGAAAAAGGAGTAGAGAGCGATAGAGGTACGTCTGTTGCTTATTTTTGAGTGCTCCTCGTACATTTTTGATCGTGATAGAAATTCTCAGACCAAAGTCAGACCAAAGTCAGCGCGATGATGGCCGTACAGTTTTCTTGTGGATTTTTTAGTTGTTTCATCTCGTATCTATGTCAGTATCGTGATGGTGAAGTGGAGAGGGTGATTTTCTTCCTCTAGGCTTCGTTCGGCCGACTTTGCTTCGTCCTCGTTGAAAAGTGATCCTGAAAAAAAAGGTCGATTCGAAAAATTATGTTGATTTTGAATGTACGTGATGACATGCGATTGCTGGCTACGTATTAAAATGTGCGCTTCATTTCAAAACTCAAGCCTTCGTACAAATGTACTAAAAAATCCACCAAGAGACGGTAGACAGTAGGGAGGGCCCGAATATGCTTGCACATATTTTCGCATATTTTGTGCTTTTGACACAAGGTTGCATAAAGTAGCAAATCTAGCATATTGTACCAAATGTAGCATATTTTGCTGCAAGGCGCAAAGAATTCGCATAATTATAGGGAAGATTGCGGAAATGGACAAGGAAACTTACCACGGCACGCTCGGTCAGGGAACACTTCCAAACTTAGCATAACTAGCAAACTAGCATATTGTACCAAATGCAGCATATTTTACTACAAGGAGCAAAGAATTCGCATAATTATCACTGATATCAGTTCATATTTCGAGTATATTTCGAGCATATTTTTCTGCTTTTGTGTGATTTCGAAGCATATTTTGAAGCAAGTGGCCACTATGCGAAAAGCATAATATACGAAATTTTTGAGCATATTTGGGCCCTCCCTAGTAGATAGACTGTATGGTTTCTTGGCATGACCGTCGAGTTTTCATCGCTGCTGGTGTCTCAGGGCGCATCTGCAAGTGTGTCTCCCTGAAAAACGTCGACATTTTTGTCATCTCCTCCAAGCTATGCTGCTCTTCCCTGATTTCTTCACTCCATAGGCACGATTTAGATAATCGCTTTCGCCTCTTCCTCGTGCTTCATGCAGTCAGACCATGAGTGCATGCTATTCCCTGTGTTACGAATCCACTGGACCCGCAGACGGGCAATCTTGTGACGGAGCTTTTAGCATAAGTAGCTTGATGTAGCGATGACGCATCGCGATCACGGCTCCGAGAACTCCGTACTATTTACGCACCGTATCCGCAGAACAATTCACACTAGTCATTCTTCTGTGCATTTCCCTGAAAGAGCATGAAGAGCCCAGCTAATCCATTTGGGTTGCAATCTGAAAATTCCCAGAATGCGCAAGAATGCCTGCGCAAACTGAAGATTGCTTGCACATTGTGGGAATTCTCAGATTGCACAAATTCTCTGCAAACGAGCTAAATAGGTCGAGCTACCAGCAATGGTGCAAAGGAGGCACCACAGACATTAAGATAGCTCGTCACTCTAGCGCCAAAGTGCTCTACCCACGAAAGGTACCGGACAATGCGTAATGCAGCAGCACTACAGCAGCCCGTGTGTGTGTGTGTGTAAATGGCTGAGGAGCCGCGGTGGCTTGGTCCGGCATGTGTGTGCCTCAACGGTGGATGCCACAGTGCCACCTGGAGCTACCGGAATGTCGGCGCCGGCGGAGGGATGTTGTGCCGCGCATTGTGACAGGTGTGGTCGCTGCTTTCGCGGTGTCCGGGGTCGGCGCAGGCATCGCTGTTCATGGGTGGCGCATAGACCAACAGCAGAGGAGCGCTCAGCCTTCCAGCACGTGTGCATATGCGGCAAGCGGATGCGACTACCCGTGCACCTGGAGCGTCATCGAGCGTCGTGCCCTCTCTCTCTCTTCTCAAGTTTCCCAGTGATGGGATCACGTGACCCTTCTGCGGCAGTGACTCTACAGGACAGGACAGGACAGGTGTGTAAATGTGTTTGTAAATGTGTGTGTGTGTGTGTGTGTGTGTGTGTGTGTGTGTGTGTGTGTGTGTGTGTGTGTGTTTACTCACACTGCTCTGATGTCCCGGCATTGCCTTCACCGAAGATCCAGAGTAAGATGTGTGACCATGCTGCCCACGGCTGTTGCCAGGGCAACAGTACGGAGAGCTCGTGTAAGCATAAACAGCTGTGCCACTCGGTTCACTGAGGGAAGATGCCGTTGGAGTGTTACCATACTGGGACTGGTATAGACTGCTGCTAATCGCTGCCGGTGGGAAGTGACGTTTGTGCTGCAGCTGCTGTTGTTGCAGTTGCTGATGTTGTTGTGGCTGCTGCTGATGTTGCGGCTGCTGCTGTTGTTGTCGCGGCTGCTGCTGCTGCTGCATCATTTCCATCGAGAATGCAGTGGATCCCTCTGTCTGTTTTGAGGAGAGCACATCATCAGGAACATCACGAAGAAATTACAGAATACATTGCCAGCCCTCGTCACTGACACGGCAAAAGAGCACAGTGATTCAGAAACCCCGAAAAGGGAAATGATTTCCACTTGCTCAAGAGTGCTGCTACTGTAGCCCAGTATTCCAAACATGCCAACATGCCTAGCCAAAGTCACCATTGGCAAAGATTTACAAAATCTGCTCAATCCAACCAGCACATCCATCCAAGTTCTTTAACGCTAACTGAGACGGAGTCAATGCAAGATCTGTTCATATGCACATAGCACCTATTGGGTAGGGCACTGTCCTGTCGAGACAGGGATGCTGGGTTCGAATCCCGCTTGTGGATCCTTCCTTTGCAATAGTTTGAACAATACAGTGCTGGATCAAAGTTGTTTGTTGAACTGACAAGGACTAACCTAGACTGTAGCTTAGGGATTTTCCCTGGATGTGTAAGACCCTTGTGTGTGTTTTTTGGTTTTTACCTAATTCACTCAAATTTCAGCAATAGAAAGTCATCTACAGTAATATTACTGGTAGTAGCATGGCTAGTTATACTCAAGTCAAAACTGGTTTCACCTTGATGATCTACCATGTCTGAAAATTTGTTGAATAGTCGTTAGTTTTCGTAGCCATCAAAGAGACCGTATTTAAAATGTTTGAGTTCAGGAAAACTAAGGTTTGAGTAGAGTTATCCAAAGGTCAAAAAGAGACTCAAGGGTCATACGCGTTCAGGGAAAATCACCATGCTACAGCCTAGACGGGTAATTGTCAGTTCAACAAACAACCTTACTCCAGCATTGGATCGTTCAAACTGTTGCAAAGGACGCACGAGCGGGATTCAAACCCAGCGCCTCTACCTTTTCTGGGACAGTGCCTTATCGATTGGGGTACCAGAGATCGCACACACCCTGACCCGTGGGTCTTTCTGGCTACAAAACTCACTGGTGCTTGCCAGGGGTCCATGCTTTTCCGGGAAGGCCATTCTTGCTGTTGCTGCTGATGGCGTTGCTGGTGTGCTGGCTGTGGCTGCTCCTGGGGTTGCTCCCGGGATTCAGGTGATGCTTGCGACCGCGCTGGCAGACCACCAGACCGCGCCGGTGGTCTCTACAAGGAACGGAGGGATCACCAATAACAGTATTCAACACAATAAAGGAAGAGAGTTGCGCATTCAACATGCACATCTTTTCCGAGAGGTTAATAGGATTAGGATATTTTCAGAACAAATTCACCATGCACATACAGAACTGGAGCACATATTAAAACGGTGCCAACTAGCGGGTATTCAGACCACACTTACCGTAACATTATTATCAGACATATCACAAAAATCACATAGGTATTTGCAAAGAAGGACGACGCCGCATCACAACTAGGAGTTTCATGCCCAGCTGGCAAATACAAGGTCACTAAAATGATACAGAGAATGCCTGCAGTACCCCCTTTTATACACTAACATAGTCCAGTATGGCGCTAGGCCAAAGCCGCAAAGTTACTAAGCGTGAACAGGTAGGTGAGAACCTGGGGGGGGGGTCGGTGCTAGCTTGTGAATGCATTTGCTGGTATGGGGCTACTCAAAAGTGTTGATTAAAATTGGTGTCAAATGGAGGGTAGTAGAGGAGTCGCAGGTTACACAGCTAGGTTGTTCGAGCACACGCTTACTTTTACCTTTTACCGCTAGCTAACAATGCGCTACAACACGTGATGATACTGAAGTGTGATAGCAGCAGCACCTTGCTCATGTGGAAACATTTGGAGACAAGCTCTATTTTACTACTGGTGATATTATGTCTGTTGTACTCGCACCCCTTCCCCTCCTCCCCCTGACTGTGGTATCTGCGCCTCTTTCTAACCCTCCAGTTAGCACCAATTATTTTAGCACTTCTGAGCAGTGAAAGATAGAGATCTGATTTTCAGTAGCATGTGCCGCATAGAGTTAATGTTTATTCATTATTCGCTCATCACTTCGACTAGCCTGCATCCAGTAGCAACTGACTTACTTCTGTGGCTTTCAGGATCACCCATCGCTATGTCTTCCACGTACTCTGGTTTGCTCAAAGTGTAAGGCCAGTCTTACAATACTTTGACGTAATTTCCGTAAATGTATCACCATAGCACCCTCTGCTACTCCACAATCGTTCCATTCATTTTTCCTCATAGTAAAATATTACACTGCTAGCCGTACAAATCTCAGGACGCATAGACGCCTGTTTCTGATGCGACTTGGGAATAAAAGTACGACGACAACAACAATAACTTGAGAGAGAGGCAAGGGAAATGCGAAAAGGGGAAGGGAGGGGGGGGGGGGCAGATTCTCAATCTTTTGGTTTCTGCGACACCCCAATGCAGAGCAACGACTGCGTGCTCGCTCTTCCATGTACGTGCTTGCTAGTCTTACTCTTACTGATGAGTCTTAGTTCGTTCCACAAAGCGCCTGAGGACAGTGACTGAGTAAGGAAGCATGTAGCTAGTCACGTAGAAAGACACTAGTGGCAGCCAGTACTCTGGCAGTAGTGCCAGTAGTGGCCTGCTCTTGCGCAAAGCCTAGCATCACATTTCCAGGAAGCTAGCGCTTCCAGGAAGCATAAAACCTACTTGTACAGTGCAGTACAGACCCTACTTGCGAGAATCTACTTCAACTATTATGATGTTACTTGTACAGTACAGACTGTACAGACTGTACAGACTGTCCAGTCCAGGGGCTTCGGAAGGTATTTCGGCCTCTTTTACCATGTTTACGGAAGGTATAATAATAATTAATAATTCGCGGGATTCGCGTTGGCATCGCTTGAATGTTCAGAAACACACAAACTAGCCTTCGCTTCCGCAGGCCACCACTATGCCTATGCCTTGCACACCTTAGTGGCGAATGCAGACCTCACAAGTGAGTCAGGGGAGAGTAGGTGAGTCTCTCAACCAATCGGGCGTGTAACGGCCCATAACCCTGTAAACTGCATCCTTGTTACCCTCACTCCGAGCTGTGAGTACCCAGTTGACCGTGGGTGTCGGCGCAGTTCACCACACATAAAAAGTCTTTACTCACGTAAAAAGTCTTTACACGCTCCCTGCTACCAGCGCGGGTCTCGAACTCGGGACCTCATGATTCGCAGGCAAGCCTGCAAACCAATCGGCCATATGCGTTGGTCACGGAAGGTATAAAGTAACTAAAAGTATTAGTTACATGTACATGTGTGGTGTAGTTGCATTAAAGAACAAATTTTGTTCGGTCATTGCCGAATGGGCATGGAATGACGTCGGTACCCATCGCGGAATCGGAATGAGCGTATCAAACAAACGCGCTGGCATGGATTCGAGAATCTGGCCAAATTTTTGTACCACTCTGGAAACGTATTACATGTACCTGTTGTGGCAGCCTTGCGAAGACTACTACTAGTAGTAGTAGTACATGCCAGTCCTGGTAGTTGCTATTATGCTTCCGTAAGTTTCTGCAGGTCCCTACGACAGTCATGATGAAGGAGCGGCCAAACACGGCGTAGATCAACGAGCGATCGTAACTAAGTAATAACTAGTCTAGGGTGCCTGCAGGCGGCGTTTGGCCGCTACTTCATCATGCTATACGACCTCGTATAAGTCACAGAAACGTCTCTAGCTCTCGTGTTTATTTGACAGAGACGAGGCACTGTTGCCGGTAAGAAGAAGTGAAGTGGCAGGCTCGGTGCCTCTTTGGGTCATTTTGTTCTGGCTTGCCTCCTTGTGATTCTAGAGGCCCTGCTCGACGACGATGAAGAGCGGAGGTGCGAGGGCATATTTCCAGTTCATCAACGATCCCGGGCGAACACTCTCTCAGGCAGCGAAGGGTCAAAATACCACGAACAAGTTACTATGCTGTCCCCGAGGTTACAGTACCAGCCTATTCCCTGGACGATGTCCACCAACATTTCTGTATATCGATTATCGCGTTTGAAGTTTTGTTGTGGAGGTATGCAGCAACGACAAACTTCACGAAGGCCCTCCGCACATTTTCATTCCGCTCGGAATGAGACCTCATTCCACTTTTTCTTAGGAATCGCCAGAATCGATTCTGCCCCCTTCATTCCGCGACCGGAATCGGAATTGCGCCGAACAAATGCTGTCCAGTGCATCAAACAAACGCTCCGGAATCAAAACACGGTGGAATGACTTTGGAATGGTGGCGGATTAGGGCTTGAAAGTGCTACGTCACAGCATAGCAACAATTTCAAAAATTCAAAAATTGGATCCACTTGGATCCAGTTTTTGTATGGATCCAAGCACATTTCAAGCCGTCTTACTCTCAGCAAGGTGATGTTACCAGTGAAACTGACTGATTTGGCTATTGGGGGCGGGGTTACAACTGGTGGCGAAGTAAAAGTCACCCCTGCATACGACATGAGTGGGTTGCTATGCACCCACATACTGAGGCAATAGCAAAGTCACACCTTAGGGGCCGTCCGTAATTATCGAACGTTTTTCACCAAAACGAATTATTTTAGTTTAGACCCAACCCCTCCCTCCCTCCCCCTCAGAACGTAAACAAAGTTTGACATATGCATGCATAATACAACAAAAGTTGCAAGTGTGTAACTGCTCCTATGGGCATGCACATGTATCAATGTTTTCTGAAACGAAATTGGTCAACCCCCTCCCACCCCATAACGAAATTATTTCGTTTTGTGAAAAACGTTCGATAATTATGGACGACCCCTTAGTGGATCCAAAATAGAAATCTGATGTCAACTTAGTACTCCCTGGCCGTTTTTGACGTCATCACTTTCAAGCCCCCACCGAACAAACGCAACCCAGCTGTACTGTACGGTCAGCCATATTTCTTTTTACCATTTCCCCAAAAATGTCTTGCCGCACAAAATGCAACGTAGATCTACGGACTCTCGATCTCCCTACCCTAGCTTAGGCCCTAGACAAGTCACTTGAAGTGTGCCTTCAATACAATACACCATGGTCATCTGGGATCTATATTTCCAGATATTAATAATACTAGCAGTAGTACAATTATTCACTCGTGTGGGAGGCCGGGTGGCTGAGGCGAAAATTTTGGAAATTTAGATCACAGATGACGGTGTATTTATGAAGGCACACTTCAACTAAGTTCAAGTTCAAGTGACTTGTCTAGGGCCTAAGGACAAGGTAGGGAGATTGAGAGTCCGTAGATCTACGTTGGATTTTGTGCGGCAAGACAGTTTTGGGGAAATGGTAAAAAGAAATACCGTGCTCGCGCGATTAGAGCCCTCTCTTGAATAGTGCCCTATCTCGAATAGTGCCCTAGTCTCCAAAAGCCAGTGAAAAATAAATCCCTCTCTTGAATAGTGCCCCCCCCCCCCCATCTTGTAAGTTGTAACCAAGCCCATGTGCAAGTTTGGTGTTCTTTTGCTAATGTTCTTGGTCATTGCTTTGCACTGGTGTTTTCAGGAACAAAATCGCAGGTCTTGTTCCCGTTTCTGTGGAGTCGTGAGCGTTTACAGTACACTTTAGGCTCTGTTTTTCTTTGTTTTATGCTGGATGACGCAAATGTACCAGCAATGAAAAAATAGTGCCCTCTCTTGAATACTGCCCCATCTGTGACGGACATTGAAAAAAATAGTGCACCAGCCTGGGGAACTAATCACGCGAGTACGGTATGTTACAGGGCAACTGTTCCCCTTGCCCACCCCCTACTATTCTTCCCTGTTATTATTTACATTCGACTGTTTTTACAGCCATTTTACGACATTAGACTGTTATGTGTGGGTTTGAACAATTCTTCCCTGGCTGCGCAAGTTTTCGAGGATTTTGTCCGCAAATTCCCGCAGGGACAGTCTTACGCAAGAGGTACACAAAAGGAAGTGAATAGGGCTGTTTTTTTTGTTGTAACTCAGAGTTTCATGGCAAAAAAACTATAATCAGACAACATAAGTCATAACTTCATAAGGAGATTAGAAAACAAGGGTATACATGCATGAAGGCAAGCAGAGGAGATAGAATAATTCAGTGCAGACAATGCAGAATAATTCAGTGCAGGCTTTTCTTGCTGATTCCAACGAACTTTGATCGCCCAAAGAGTCGAGGGTCAAACCTGCTTCCTCAGTCGCCTCAGAATAGCCAACCTTTATGGCCAAGTATCGCCATAGTCTTTTCAGCCACACAGATGACGGTGAGGACACTCCAGGCGAAAGGGAGTAGACAGGCAGTGGAGAGGAGCAATCAGAGGTAGCTGAAGATACTGATATCGCCGAAGACGCCTGCGAAGCCATGCCGAGATAAGAAACCTCTTTGAATAAATCACGCCCTAGCGCTCTTCTACAAGAAAATTCATCCAAAAATTTTCTTCGGCAAAGTGAGCTTTTTCCGAACAAACATGCCGAATCTTCGCGTGATATACTATACATCACGCACGACAAAAGGCGTCCGGATGAGGACCTCGGC